GCGTGCGTTCAAGCAACCCCAGCCGAGCCTCAGGCAGACACAGGCCTGGTCCGTGCAGGTTAAATCTACAGGATGAAATCCAAGCTCCACATCCGTCCGCACACGTCCCCTTGTCCCGCACCTCAGCCCAGCAGGGCGGCCCCGCCACGGGCCTTGGGATCTTTCCTTCTTCCTGGGGTTCTCCCCTCCTCCTGCAAATCCCCCTCCTCCTTCAGAAGCAGCCCCCAGGTGTGGACACAGCACGATGCCGAGGGTGCCTCTGAGCGCCCACCTTCTTCCGAGACGGACGGGGCACGCAGTGGACACTGGAAGCATCTGAACTGGTGTGCAGCCCTGACTTCCCGTGGGCTCCGCGCTTTCCCGTGGGCTCCGCCCTTTCCCGTAGGCTCCGAGCTTTCCCGCTGACTCCGTGCTTGCTCCCAGGACCAGTAGTCACCGTCCCTCCATGTGCTCACCTCCACCGGGCACTGGCTCCTGCCTGATTTATGATCTTCCCCGCCCTGGTCTCAGCTGCCCCAGGGGCGCTGGCCCCGTCTTCACTTCACACCCCCGAACGAAGTACAGGAGCCACCTGTGGAGAAGTTTTAAGAGGAGAAAAAATACCTTATGACATAAAATTATGAAGAAGTAAAATAGCAGCTGGGAGCAGCTCCCCTAACCAATCCCCAGCTTCCTCAGACCAGTGGCCAAGACCTGGCCACACGGGCCAGCAGCCTCTTGCCAGGGCCCTGGGCTAACAGCAGAGGCCACCTGCACCCAGGAAGTTTCGCAGCGATTTTCAAGGTCTGGCTACCGAAAGGGCAAAGGGATGCTGGGCTGTGGGGGAAACGCTGATCTCCAGCCTCATCCCACAGTGAGGAGTGTGAAGCTCCAGGGGGGGGTGGGGAGATTCCTTGCAAAGGTGGCCCCGTCCCTGCACCCCTCAGCCGTGCCCACACAGGGGCCCTGCTGCTCCCCCACAAGGAGTGGGAACCTTGCAGTTTTGTGGGAGAGATTGCGCACCAACTCCAGCTTAGGCCTTCAGGGGCTCGCCGGGGCCCTCCAAAGCTTCGATCGCCACGGAGATAGCCGGATCGGCAGAGCAGGGGGAGCCCGTGAGGGCACGGCTGGAGCGAGGCCGGGCAGGAGGTGGGGGGTGAAGCCCGGGGCCCAGGCTCGGCGGGGTGATGGGAATGAGGCAACAGGGCCCAAGGACCCCAAGCTGATGGAGACCCACGGACAAGGGGAGGTTGAGGAGCTGCGGGGTCTCCTAGTGGGGGTGGTCGTCTGGGACCACCCAGCCTCAAAGAGGCTGTGAGAATCATAGGAGTGTGTGAGACACCCCACAGTTAAGGGGCATGAAGGGGACCAGGCACGGTCTCAGAGCCCAGAGCACAGAGGGCGGGAAGGATGGGGTGCGGACAAGGATGGGGTCTGACAAGAGGAGGGTGACAAAGCGGGGCGGCCATGGTGGCAGGAAGGCTGCAGTGGGAGGGGAGGGAGTGGGGTCGGTGGGAGCTGGGGAGAGGGCGGGGCGGGAGAGCTTGGGGGGGCTCCTGAAGGTACTCATGGAGGCCTACAGAGAAGCCAAACAGTGCTGGGTTTTGGGTGCCCCCACAGAAACACAGGCCCAAAGGAAACGGGGAGCCCTGCTCTCCCTGGGCCCCACCCTCAAGGGTGGCTGGATGAGTGTGTCTGGGGCTTAGGATGGTGGTCACGCTCCAGGCCCATCCTGGGCGGGGGATGCTGGGCCCGGGAAAGCTGCTAGAGCCTGTGGTCACCTTTGACCCCTGCGGCCTGGCCGCTCCTGACAGCATGAGTTGATCTAAGGACAAAACCAGGACCCCTGGCTTGGAGGGACAGTCCCACATACCCTTGGCCCCAGGCTGGTGCACATGCCACCGGGGCCACCCCCACCTGCCCCCCACCACCGGCACCCTGCTCTCTACCCTCCCAGGCCAGTGCACGTGCCTCCTGGGCCAGTGCCCCTTTCCTCCTCTGGTACTTTACTTTCTACCCTCGCTCTTCTTCCCATGTCTCCTGCTCTGGTCCTGGAGCCGGAAGTCAGGGCTCTGTGCAGATGAGCTCGGGGCAACCCAGGCCCTGCAAACCCTGCCAGGCTTCTGAGCAGCTGCTGACCTGCCCTGCTCCCCTGGAGCCTCACGCCTGCCTGGGGGGCAAGAAGCCTAAGTCCAGCCCCCTTCCACAGGGTCCCTTTAGCCTCTGGGGACACATAGGGGTGGGGTCCAGGTCCCCCGGCCCAAGGGCTGGAGATGCCAGGGGCTCTTCGATTGCAGGAAGGGAGCCCCAGCCAAGTAAGGGAAGGCCAAAGGGGCATGAGGAGGCTCAGGGGTGTCTGCCTGGTGCGGGGTCCCCACCCTGCTCCTCAGGCCGGGCCGTGCGCCCCCCTCTTCTGGGCTCTGCCCACTGGGCTGCCCAAGGGCCTGGTGCACTCCGCCTCATCCAGCCTGCCAAGGCTGCCAAGACCCAACCCTGGTTGTGGGGCTGGAGCGTCCTTTGTACGGTGGCTCCGTCTCCCCTCCGCACCGTGAGTCAGGGCTGACGTCTCCGAGGGCTTCCGCACTGGGGGCCCTCTTTGCAGGGGAGTCTACTGGCCCTGACTTGTCTTGGGGTGCTGGAGTGTCCCGGGAGGCCCAAGCAAGAACAGGCTGAGAAAAGGGGGCACAGGTGGCCACGGTCCCTGGTGTGGTCCAGCCAGGCCAGGCCAGAGAAGGAGGAAGGGAGACTGGGCGGGGAGGGCCCGGCCCCTGGGAGTTTCCCAGCCACTGGGGGCCCCGGAAACGTGGGCTGGCCTTCTGCTGAGCGTGTGACCATCCCCACCCTGGCCATCCGCTGGGCTGGCTGGGCCACATAACCCAGGAGCACTCATGGCTTCCAGGAAAAGTGGTTGTCCAAGAACCCCGACTCTGACCCAGGGGCATGGTTGGCTCAGGGAGTGACCTGTGGGGAGGGGCACAGAGGAGCCTCCCCGGGCCTCAGCCTGGGTCTTGCCTCTGGGCTGCCGGAGGTGGGGAGCCTCGGCCGTGTTCTTGGCTCCACACAGCCCCTGCCCCACCAGATCAGCCTTGGCTTGGTTCTCCACGCTGCGTCCTGCAGGGGGGGGGGTGGGGAATGGCCAACGGCTGGTGTTCAGGGTGCCCCGTGGGATGGCATGTCCCCTCGGCTATCAGGGAGTCCCGTTAGACTAGGCTTCTAACCAGGACCTGGGCAGGGGAGCATCACAGTGCTGAGGCCCAAGACTGCTGCCCACCGGCTGCCTGGGTTCCTCTCTGAATCTCGGTCTGCTCGTCAGCCAGGCGGGAACAGCTGCTCGCTCCTGTTCCTTCCCTGTCAGGTGTGTGAGACGTGGCTCCTTTCTCTCCGCCAAGAGTGAACGCCCTTTGACCAGGCCTTGCGGTGGTTCGGGGAAGAGACGTCCATGAGGCAAGTGTATCCTGTGAGCCTGGCCCATCACCCGACCTCCAGGCTTCACAAAACTTCAGATCTGAGCAACACGCAGTTGTGACCCTGCGGCTCCAGAGCTCCCTCTCCAAGTGACTTCTCCGGGTCCCGCAGAGCAGGCCCAGCAGATCCCAGGCCGACCTGCTAGGACCCCGGCCTCCCACCCACAGCAGGGTTTTCCTGTGGTCCTAAGCGGCCCTCCTTCCAGCACGGCAGGGAGACCTGGGCCTGCAGGGACTTGCCGGGAGAACCCGGGGCCACCAGGGCCGTCCTGCGATGGACATAGCCTCAGGCCTGGCTCCAGCTTCTAGAAGAGTTCTGCCTCTCGCCACCCACCGTGGCCTGGAAGGCACATTCCGAGGCGTCGCTTGCTCTGCACATCATAACCCTGCTCTGTCTGGTGGCCCGAGGAGGGTGTCACAGACCAGGGGCTGGTTTAGAGCTCCCGGGGGCCCAGTCCACCACCCACGGCGTGTGGCGAGGAGGCTCAGAGGGCTGCGCAGTGTCCTCCATTCTGGGGGTCTGTCCTTGGGGCTCAGCGGCACCCCAGGCCGTGAGAGCAGAGGCGCTGTCCCCAGCCGTCCCCCGGTGCCGGAAGCTGGGCCCTCAACAGGCTCCTTGGACTCTGAGGGGCTCAGGCTCCCAGAGGCCGCCCTGCCCAGCTGCCCCGAACGGAAGTGTGCAGTGTGTGGGCGTTGGAACATTCCACCCACCGTGCCTGCTGCCACCCACCCCGGGGACTGGGAAGTGAAATTGCTTGGTCTGTGCCGGGCATGGCAGGTGAGGGCCGTGTGGGCACACCAGGCAAATTTCTCAAGGGTGGCATGGGAACCCATCTTCTTCCAGGTGGTGATGTCCAAGGTGGTGGCGGTGTCCAGGCACCTGGGGTGGGTGCTGAGTGTCCACAGCAGAGGAGAGATGGGCTAGATCCCAGGGGGTGAGGGAGACCACCACCCTGTCCACAGGCTGCCTGCCCACAGGGAGGAAGCGACTCTGCGGCCAATCAGAGGGAGCGTTGGGCCGGCCCAAGGGATGGGTTTCCACGTGGGCTTCCGCGTCTCTCCTCCCCCGAGGCCTCTTGGGGACATGGCTGCTCTAGGTGGGGTCTGGTGACCAGGGCCCCTGTTCTCAGCCCTCAGAGAGTCTTCCCTCAGCACCCTGAGAGGCAGCTGTCCTTTTTACTAACCCCTCCCCTTTTCAGGAGAGGAAACTGAGGCCCAGAGGCAGGGCCAGCTGTGTCATCTGTAGGGCCCATAGAAAATGAAAATGTGCGGGCACGTGGTGGAGCGTCTGTCATCCCAGCACCTCGGGAGGCCGAGGCGGGAGGATCACGAGGTCAGAAGTTCAAGACCAGTCTGGGCAACATAGTGAAACCCCATCTCTAATAAAAATACAAAAAAAAAATTAAAAACAGCCAGGCGTGGTGGAGCCTCTGTAATCCCAGCTACTTGGGAGGCGGAGGTGGGAGAATCGCTTGAGCCTGGGGGTCGGAGGTTGCAGTGAGCCAAGATCATGCCATTGCACTCCAGCCTGAGTGACACAGTGAGATCCTGTCTCAAACAAACAAAAAAAAGAAAACAATGAGAATGTGCCCTTCTTTAAGAAGTATTAAGCATTTCAGGATGGTGGCAGCAGAGCATTGGCTCAGCAGGGGCCCCGCACGCAGTTTCGGGAGGGTAGTGAGCACGCGTGGCTTGCAGGGAGAGGGAGAGCCGGGTCCAGAGGGGCCACAGTGGAGGCAAGAAGGGGACAGAGTGAGGGGGGCCCTGGATCCAAGAGCTTGGTGGCCTCCACTGCCTCGGTCTGTGGTCTGCACAAAGGGCTCAAGTCAGACGCGCCCAGGAATCTGGGTCAAACACAATGACGGGTTTCCATCCACAGACTCGTCCAAACACATGACAGACCCCCAAGGGGATGGGAGGGGAGGTTACAGCTTTCGGTGTTCCCCGAACCGCCCGACACGGAACGCTGTTTTTCTTGGGACTTCTCCCAGGGCTGGCGGTCTGTGAAACGCACGTTGGGAAGGAGAGTTGAGGCCTCGGCCCCAGTACAGCTGAGGGGCTAAGCGCCATGGTGTCCTGACTGAGCAGCCGGGCAGTACCTCCGGACACCGGTGCAAAGCAGCAGCCCCCGCCCTGTTCTCTCCGAGTGCTCCGGTCAGCTGCATTCAGCATTGGGTGGTCCCTCCTGGTCCCTCTGATCCTGGCTGGACGGGCTGTGAGCCGTGTCCCTCCTGGTCCCTCTGATCCTGGCTGGACGGGCTGTGAGCCGTGTCCCTCCTGGTCCCTCTGATCCTGGCTGGACAGGCTGTGAGCCACGTCCCTCCTGGTCCCCCGACCCTGGCTGGACGGGCCGTGAGCCGTGTCCCTCCTGGTCCCTCTGATCCTGGCTGGACGGGCTGTGAGCCGTGTCCCTCCTGGTCCCCTGACCCTGGCTGGATGGGCCGAGAGCCAGTTTCCCCTTCAGCTGGAAGTTCCTCCGGAATTGACTCTCCAGGCCTGCCTTTCGGGGAGCCCCTTGCATCTGGCTTCTGCCTCTGCAGGCGACTGTGGATTGCTGTCCCTGCCCACCTAAGCCCCTGTGTTGTTTTCTCTCGAGGTGCTTGTCACTCAGGTGAGCAGGAAATGTTTGTGGAACTCCATGAATCCGGGAGGGGAGGTGGTGGGGAGGCCAGGAGCGGGTGCAGCCTGGCCTGGCCCCAAGACCTGTGGCCCTCCCACTACATGCAGTGTGGACACAGACCTGCTGCCTCATCGCCACCTTCCAGAAACATTTGCAGAGCCATGTTATGTGTGGCACTGCCCGAGTTCTGGACGGACACACCAGGAGCAGAGGCTGTCCTTTTCCTGATGAGGGCTTGCTGTGTGGCCCTGGGCAAGCTGCTGGACCTCTCTGAGCCTCAGTGTCCCCTTCTGTAGAGTGGAGGTAACACAGCCAGTGAGGACACGGAGAAACAGTGGCCCAGGGAGGCTCATTTACTGAGAATTGTTTCTAGTTTTTTGCAGCAGGGTCACCTGGTGAGTGCTGTGGCTAAAACAAGATGTCGGGGAGGGAAGAGCCACTCTTCCCGGGGGCTGGCTGGGCCAGACCTGTGACACCACAGCAGTGCCACACCCTGCAACCTCGCTGCCCAGTGGTACCCATCCCCGTGTGCGTCGCGTCTGTGCGGCAACTCACATGTCCTGTTCCCGGACTCTTGCTTGCAAAATGTATTGCCCAGAGCAATCGGGCCCGGTGCCAGCAGCCCTGCCCCTAATCTACCTGCCTGGGGGGCCTGAGGGAGCTACCTCCTCCCCAGGGCTGGAGGCTGGACTTCAGCAGGGTGCACTGCAGCCCTTACCCCCTTTTCCCTGCTGTACTGTCAGGACCCCTTCCCACAGGAGCCACTGGCCTAGGCTTTGGCTAGTCATGACAGTTCCCCAGTGCCAGGCACCACAGGAGGCCCTGGGAGGGGTCAGTGGCCCCTGTCTCAACTCAGCTCACTCAGGGGCCCTGGGAAGCTGGGGGAGGTTCTGGAGCCAAGCTCCAGCCAGAGCCATCCCAACAGCACGTATGCGGCTCCCCAGGGGCTCTGCTGCATGCGTGGAAGTGAAAATTGCTGATGGGGGGGCGCAAGTGGGTCCCACAAGAAGAGAGTCAGGAAGAGACACGGAGTCTGGCCACAGGTGGTTCTGGGCATTCTCCGAGCCCCTCCACTGACTGCTGTGAGGCCTTGGCAGAATCCTGCATTACCCAAGCCTGTTTCCCCGTCTGTAAAATAGGGATAAGAATACTTCCACCCCCCAGGTCCTTGAGGAGACAAAATGAGGTGACACTCTGTGCATGTTCCTGGCACAAAGAAGTGACTACCCACGTGCACTGTCATATCAGGGGCACAGGTTAGCCACGTTCATCCTCAAAGGTATCTGGGAGTGGAAGCATTGTTACCTCCACTCACAGAGGAGGAGACTGAGGTACTGAAAGGTTCACTAGCCCACCTGAAGCCATGCAGCTAGTAGAGAAGGAGCTGGAAGTTCAACCGAAATGGTGATGGTGATGATGGTGGTGGTGAAGATGATGGTGATGGCGATGATGGTGATGGTGATGGTGACAGTGATTATGATGATGGCAATGATTATGGTGGTGATGGTGATAATGGTGATGATGATGGTGATGAGGTGATGATGGTGATAATGATGGTGATGGTGATGGTGATGATGATGGTGATGATGATGGTGGGGGTGGTGATAGTGATTATGATGATGGCAATAATTATGGTGGTGATGGTGATGATGGTGGTGATGATGGTGATGATGATGATGGTGGTGGTGATGGTGATGATGGTGGTGATGGTGGTGATGGTGGTGATGGTGATGATGGTGGTGATGGGGATGATGGGGATGATGGGGATGATGGTGGGGATGGTGATGATGGTGGTGATGGTGATGATGGTGGTAATGGTGATGATGATGATGATGGTGATGATGATGATGTTGGTGATGATGGTGAGGATGGTGATAGTGATTATGATGATGGCAATAATTATGGTGGTGATGGTGATGGTGGTGGTGGTGATAATGATGGCAATGATATGGTGATGATGATGGTGATAGTGATGGTGATGATTGTGGTGGCATTGTTCTTGGCAGTTTATACATATGAACTCATTTAATTCTCACAATAAGCCAATGACCATGTCTATTTTGCATGTGAGGACAGTGAAGAAGAGAGAGTAACTCGCTTAAGACCCCACAGCCAGTAAGTGGCAGAGCAGGGACTTGGGGCTACACATTCTGGTTGGAGCCCGTGTCCAGAGCCCATGTCCAGAGCCCATGTCCAGAGCCCATGTCCAGAGCCCATGTCCAGAGCTGCTTCACTGTCCTGTCCCATGAAGCCATGCTGCTTCACAAAGTATCTCATGAAATTGGGGGAAGAGGCTGAGTTCAGAGCACAGGGTGTGACCCCACTGGGAGGAGCTGGAATTGTGCAGGAGGTGCAGTGGACTGAATGTCTCTGTCCTCCCCAAATTCATATATTGAAATCTTTATCCCAGCCGGGTGCAGTGGCTCATGCCTGTAATCCCAGCAGTTTGGGAGGCCGAGACGGGCAGATCACGAGGTCAGGAGATAGAGACCATCCTGGCTAACGCGGTGAAACCCCGTCTCTACTAAAAATACAAAAAATTAGCCAGGCATGGTGGTGGGTGCCTGTAGTCCCAGCTACTTGGGAGACTGAGGCAGGAGAATGGCATGAACCCAGAAGGCGGAGCTTGCAGTGAGCCAAGATCACACCACTGTACTCCAGCCTGGGCGACAGAGCAAGACTGTGCCTCAAAAAAAAAAAAAAAAAAAAGAAAGAAAAGAAAAAAAAAAGAAAAAAAAAATCGTTATTCTAGAGTGGATGGTTTTTGGTGGGGCCTCTTTGGTAGGTGATTAAGTCATGAGGGTGACCCTCATGAAATCAGGACTGCTCCCCTTATGAATGGGAAACCAGAGAGCTACAGCCTCTTTTTGTCATATTGAGGACCACAGTGAGAAGTCGGCCATCTGCAGCTTGGGAAATGGATCCTCACCCAGAATCCAACCCACGCCATGCACCTTGAATTTCCTTGGAACTATCCAGCCATCCAGAACTGA